CAGCTAAGTTAGGTCGTCGGGCAAAGTCAGACCAATTTTTGTCCGGAAATCAAAATTTACGGAACTTAGTCATTTTTATACTCATTTTGAAGCTCAAAACACGCCAAGTTCAATTTTTTTTGTTTTAANTAATTTCCCCCTTTCGCACACTCTCTAGCGCATTGAAACTTCAGAACTCTGTATCGCAGCTCTTAGGAGACGTAGAGAGATGAAAATTTGTGGGAATATGAATTGAAATATGACAATTCTTTTGAGATAAAAATGTTTTGAAAAAATCAAGATTTTCCGATTACCCACTAAAAAATTTTTGCGTTTTTTTTTAAAATTTTGACATACAACTTTTTGTCTGTCATACTTCAATCAATATTCTTACGAAATTTCAGCTCTCTACGTCTTCTAGGAGCCGAGATACAGCGCTTCCAATATCAACAGGGCTAGAGAGTGTGCGAAAAGGGGGAGGCGCAGACACTCTCGTCGTCTGCACCCTCCACACTCTCTCGCCTGTCTAAACTTCAAAGCTCTGTATCTCAGCTCCTAGGAGACATAGAGAGATGAAAATTTGTGGGAATATGAATTGAAATATGACAACTCTTTTGAAATAAAATATTTCAAAAATCGTCAATTTTCAGATCACCCATTACAATCTTCCGGACGGTCGCCGCTTTGTTGCTGGCATCGGAATCTACCCACGTCTTCTAACCTACGAGACAGGCTTCTTTTATTCATTCCCGATCAATGAGGACATATGCCAGGAAGCTATGGAGAGCGGCTACGACTATGTTCCCCCGAAACCCAGAAAATGGACCAAAAGACGAGCGGAGAGGTTTGAAATGGTGACGAAGGCTGCAAGAGATGCGGGACTAATTCGACCAAATGAATTCTTGGGAAACGTTCGATTTGTTGAGAATCCACCAGTTTATACGAAATTGATTATAGAGGAGGAGGAGAAATTGAAAGAATAAGTCAGTGAAGAGAATGAAACTCAAAATTGAAGAAAATTTTAATACAGAATTGTTTGTCAAACTTCAAAACATATTGCCTCAAATTTTCAGCTTTCTAGCCCTTCTAGGAGCTGAGATACAGAGCTTTGAAGTTTGGAGAAGCGAGAGAGGGT